TGCATAATTTAACCTAATTTGCATAAATTTTTTTTTAAATATTAAAACCCCTAGCCCTTATTCATTCACATACCAAAAATGAGCAAAATCCGTTCAACCTGAACTGACTAATGGCAATTTCCATTTTTCCCAAAAAATCGCCGTGGCTCCAAAGTACGCCGACTGGCGTGCTCCAAAATAGGACGTTCCATATGGGAGCATAGCAGTAACAACTACACCCAATTTCAAACGTGGGTCAAACGGTTCCTGAGTTATCGTTGACCGAAACCAAATGTTGACGGACGGACGGACGCACGGACAGACGACGACCCATGGCAATAGCTCAGCTTGACAATGTTAAGGTGAGCTAAAAATTTAAACTATTTTACATTTAAACTATAGTTAGAATGCCTTGTTTTTATGGTTGAATCCCGCAGTTTTTTTAAATAAACGCTGCACTGGTAAAATATCTGAACTACTTCACCCGCAGAGGAATGATGTGTATGAATCGTTATGAGTAAACTGACGCTCCAGCCGATTGTAGCTTTTCGCACATGTGTTTTGAATAGCTACAGTTAGCTGTAGCCCGCGTACAGTTGCCGCTGGCGCCGCCTGAGGCGATCCCTGCCGTGCCTCCTTCAAGTAGCTGTGTCAGCCTGTGTGTGTACATTTACAGCTTGGCATCGCCGCAGAGCAGTAAATTACGTAAAAACCATGTCGTGCAAAAGTACAATTTATGTCAAAACTAAGGAAGCTACGCGGTTTGTAATACTACCGGAAGATAGAATAAGGACCAGTGAACAAAAAAAGCTCATGTTTGTATACATATGTATTTTTATTCACATCAAACTCGTACGACAAAAATGTAGTGAAATCAGTACCAAAAAGGTGTCTTACTCTTTTGTCATTATTAACTCCTGATAGTATGTCATGGTACGTTTTCGGTACTTTTTGATACAGCGCTTTGTTAGTCTAATACTAATAGTTACAAGGTTTTGTCTGACATCCGCCTGTAACCTTCTCGTCACGTAGTGAGAAGCGAGAAGGTAAACTTGTAGCTAGTTCAAGCAATGTTATGGATAACTCAATTGTGTTTGGTACAGTATGACTATGACTCATGAGTCACTAAGTGTGCGACTGGCTGTGGCTACTGTCGTACCGAGTGTTCGCCAGTGAGCATAGTTCAGACATAACGCTTCTGAAATTAACATTCGGCAAGATTGGGCTAAACTTGATGACAGACCTTACTTAGTTAGACTTACCAACATCTTGATCAAAAGGCGAGGTACTACTAAATAGAGGCATTGTCACAGCTCATGGGGAAGTAATTGCAAAATTTCTGTTGGTCAACAGAACCGATCAATGCGCATGATCGTGCGTCACACTGGAAGGTGTCGACACCTAGTGGCAAACAATGTAAATAAAACGGTGAGTGAACAAACTGGTATTTGTTAATGTTAGGGAAATTATTATTATTATTTTCTCGTTAGGAAGGGGTTGAGCCCGTGCTACACGGATAAATCTGGCCAAAATCGAAATTGATATTATGTATTACGAAACGAGCAATCTTATTGCGCAAGTGTGATGTTTTATTTGTCAGTACACTGCCACTGCACTGGGTTGCATATGGGCCCATACTGGGCCATAGTACTAGTAGTAGTAGTAGTACTGTTCTACTACTACTACTACTAGTACTACTAGTACAACTACTAGTAGCTCTAGTACTATAGCCCGCTTACATTAACTGCCGCTGCTGTAATTACATTAGCTGTAAGCGGGCTATAGTACTAGAGCTAGGACCATAGTAAACCGACCAGGCTCTCCGACTAGTTACACTCGCCACGTAGTGTTAAGCGAGATGGGAACTTGTGGCTAGGACCATAGGGGCTCTATAGTGGCGCAAATCCACTTTAGGCACCTTAGGTATCACGAAGTCCCCCCTCCCCCGATTTGCACCCTCTATAGTCGCGTTCACACGCACAGGCACTTGAAGCGTTTCAACTGTAAACACACGCCGCCGCCATTGCGCACACACTGACACATAAATATATATATATGCTATATATTTATGTGTCAGTGTGCGCGCAATGGCGGCGGCGTGTGTTTACAGTTGAAACGCTTCAAGTGCCTGTGTTCACACGGGCATGGTTTTGTTCGAGCCAAATGGGCTAGATTTGGCTCGGGCCTAATTGAGTCGGAGCGTTCACACGTACGCAAGTGAATACTGTCTGTCAAATTCAAATTGAAATTCAAATAAATTTTATTGCACAAATATCTCACAGATACTTTGGGCTTGGCAGTATGTCGCGAGATGGCGTTGTTTACAATTTAGAGTGTTTACTTATGTTCCGAGTTTAATTATCAATCTTGAAAACCTGCCTCCTGATCAAATTTTTCGAATTTTGATACTGTTTTGGACTTTATTTCGTCGAAGTACATGCACGTTCGACACTCGCGGCATCTACCGCTCAACCGATTCTACCGCTCTACCCCTCGCCGAAAGTTGGTGCTAAAATTTGGCTCGGGCCTGGTTTGACGTTTTCGATGGGACCAAATCTGGCACGGGCCTAATTAGGCTCGGGCCAAAAACGTCCGTGTGAACGCTCTGCTCGAGCCAAATCTGGCACGGGCCTAATTAGGCTCGGGCCAAAAACGTCTGTGTGAACGCGCCTTATATCCCCCAGGGTACTGCCGGAACGTACCCTACCCTGGTCACTATTTGATATGGTTAAGGTTAGGGTTAGGGAGTAGGCATAGGGGACTCCCTAGACTCGTTAGTGGAGTACTTCTACTTCTATACTGGACAGTCTGTAAGGAGTAGGCGAGGTACGGTCCGGCATATTACTATTAGTATTATTAGCTCATCTGACATAGTCAGATGCAGCTTGTAGAATCGCTTGATCGTCCGTGCGTGCGTGCGTCCGTCCGTGCGTGCGTGCGTTTGTCAACAGAGTGGGCACAAATCTAAACGGCTCGACGTACGATCAC